CTGCTTCTCCAGTGCTGGGACTAAAGGTGTGCACCACCAATGTCTGGCTTGTTTTTTAAGGCAAGGTCTTACTATATAGCCCTGGTTGTCCTGGAATTCACTATGTGGACCAGGTTGGTCTTGAACTCAGAGATCTGCTTGCCTCTGCCTCCTGAGTGCTGGGATTAAGGGGCTAAGGTACTATGGCTGGCCTTTATTTATTTTTTGTGGGGCAGCAGACAGGGCTTGCATGGCACAGTGTACGTGTAGAGGCCAGAGCACATTTGTAGAGTGGGTTCTCTCCTGTTTATGTTTCTTGGGGATTGAAAGTTAGTTGTCAGGCCTGTTAGGCAAGTACTTTTGCCCAATGAGCCGTCTGGTCAGCCCAAGATTTAATCAGTTCTTCTCCTGTTTCAGGATCTAATCTAGGTACCACATTGGTAGTTGCTGTGCTCCTTAATCACCTCTGGCCTTGGGAGTTCTTCCATCTTTTCTTGTGTGTGATGACTGTGACAGCTTTGAGGACCAGTCAGGTGTCTTGAGACGGTTTCTCACATCCACTTTGTCTATGGTATTTCTCACTAGTAAACTGGAGTTATGGACTCTGAGGGGTATCACCTAAACGAAGGCCCTTCTTGTCATACCCTCTCAGAAAAAGTATAAAACGCCCATGAGACATCATTGCAATACTAACCTTAGTCTTGTGGTTAAGATGGCAGCTGCAGAGCTTTCTCTGTAAGGGAATGTTCCACTTCCTATAGTCTACTTTTTGGAGTCACATCACTAAGCCCTGCCTATGTTTAAGTGGATCAGGGGTGAGGTGATTTTGATGGTAGTTTAAACCATACTACATATACTTATTTTATACATCTCACAAGTAACTTGCTGTATATCTTTTGTGTTTGTGGGAGGGTGGGGAGTCAAAGTCCTACTATTCATTTAGCCCTGATTAGCCTAGATCTTCCTGCCTCTGCCTCTGGACTGCTGGGATTGCAAGCACATGCCATCACACCTGGCTGTGTATCTGTATTTGCTTGTATAATTGTATACACGTCTATCAAACTATCTCTTAAATTGTCACTCTGACCATTGGGAACTCCTCTAGTGGATCCCTATACCCTTTGACCTGGTGTAGGTTTGTTTTTGTTTGTTTAGAGAGAACATCTCACCGCATAGCCCAGGCTGCCCTTGAACTTGCAGTGATCCTCCTGCCTGCTGGAATTACATATGTGAGTGCTCAGCTATCACTGTAGTCTGGGGCATGTTCTTATTTTTTGGGGAATGACAAGATGCCTTGGGTGAGGGCAGCAAGATGGCTCTGTGGGTAAAGTTCAATATTCATAGTGGGCAAGCACTCTACCAAGGAGTTACAGCCTCATCCCTTCACTTCTTTATTATCACCCATTTGGCTATAGTTTGCTGATGAGCTACCCAAGGTTATGTGATGTGGTCCCAGTTAGAATGTAGAATCCTCAACCCAACATCTGTGCCCAGTGGTGCTTTGTGGAAGCTTCTGGTGCTTGCACAAAATGACAAGCAAGTCCCTGAGCTTGTGTAGTCAAAGGCTGGCCTCCAGCCTTCTTAGGCACTGCTTGCCCTGTTTATTTCCAAATGTGGCTGTATCCTTACACTTGTTTTTATTTTCCCAACTCCTCTGCTTCTCATTTGACATCTCTCCTATCTTCTCTCTGGCTTGTCCACTAGGTATCCTTGCTTTTTTAGAGACCCTAAATGTCCCCTCTGCCCTTCCTGCATGCTGAGGCAGTACCTCTTCCCTATGGTGATATTTTGTTTATGATCTAACAAATAAAGCTTGTCTGAAGAGTATAGTGCAAAGCTAGCCACACTAGTTAGCCATAGAGGCCAGGCAGTGGTGGTACACACCTTTCGTCCCAGCACTTGGGAGCTCTGTGAGTTCAAGGCTACCCTGGGCTACATGAGATTGAATCTGTCTAAAAGAGAAACAGAGCTCACACAAAGGTGATCTCAGCACTTGGGATCCCACACCTTTAATCCCAGCACTAGGGAGGTGGAGACAGGAGTGAAATGGCTGGGCAGAGAGGAATATAAGGCAGGAGAAGACAGGAGCTCAGGGCAATCTGAGCAGCAGTTAGTCTGAAGCAGTCTGAGGATGCAGTCTGAAGACAGGATCATCCCTTTGGTCTGAGGTAGAAGTAAGAGCTAGTGACCGGCTGCTTTGCTTCTCTGGTCTTTCAGCTTCCCCCACCCCCTAATAGCTGACCCCAGGTTTTTATTATTAAGAACAATTAGACTTCATGCTACACTTTCCCTCTCCAGGACTAACTCTTACTAGGCCTAGATCCCATCCTCCCCTGCTTTCTCCAAGGCTACATCTCCTCACATCTCCGTCCCCATCCCTGGCTCCTCTTGTACCCAGTTTATTGGTCTACATAGGCTCTCTTGGCCTGGTCTCAACCAGCACAGAATCTTTCTCTTCATTTTGGCCTTCTTGAAATAGTAGGTTTCACCCATCCTCTCCATTGTCAGCTAGGGCCACTGAGATCACAGAGAGGAGAGATGTTCCACAATGAAGTTTTCCTGCACTGGCTTCCATGGAGGGCCTCTAATAGGGAAATGAAACGCCCATTTCTTGGGAAGAGTCCAAGATGATGAAAGAGTGTCAGTAAAGACTACTCCAGGAGATGAGACAGAGTGCAGAGCCATCAGAGAGAAATTCAGAGAAGCCACCAGCCTTGGTTGAAGAAGAGTAGAGAAGCGGAGGCCGCTTTGCCCACACCTCACTTCCTGGAGTAGCTTGGAGAAGGGGAAGGAAAAAAAGCACATCCCTTCCTGAACCTTGAGTCTGATCCCCTCTTCTCTGTCCTCCCTCAGAGCCTTCCACCCAGAAGACAGCCAATTTAATCACAGAGCACTTGACCTCCAAGATGGTTCTGCCTCCCTCTGACTGTGAAGCAGCCAGTGTGATTCACCACCCCACCTGTTCAGCCTCATTGCATCTTGCCAAGCTGATGTGGGTGTGCCCTCTCCATCAGTGGAGCAGCAGGGAACTCCCAGCCCGAGCTTGGGGCATTACTTGGCTCCTTCACTCAGACATTCTTGTCTTCCATACCCCTAATACACAGGAACTGGCTTCTGCTTGTTATTCCCCATCTGCTGCCTTTCTTTTTGGACCCTACTAATGGCACCGTCCCTGTGAGCACCTTGACATAGGCCTGATCTTTGGAATTTAGCTTGTGTTAGATGGGCTTTCTCTAGGACTGAGTGGTTATTGGTCTTAGCTCACCTGTGTGCACTGACCAATGTTGTGTAGAGGGGGCTTGATCTATTTGTTTATGCATTCAACAAATATTTGAGGAAGACTTTGAATGCTCATTGTAGGGAGCAGGGCTACAATGATGGGCAAAGAGCCATGCTTTCTAAGAGTTTTCTGGTGTGTTTGGAATATTAAACCAATAATTTTACATAGGATACTACTAACAATGAAGAAAAGGAAGGAAAATGTACATGTGAAATGCCATCCATGGCTTCAGGTAAAGCCTCCAAAGGAAGTGACAGTTTAACTGAGATCTGAAGTACAAGTAGTGTCAGGGCCCATAAAAATGGCTCTTCATCTTGACTTAAGGTTGGAGAGTTCAAACCCACTATTGCTCTTCCAAGGTTAAACAACAGAATGTTTGGCCTAAGGTGTGCTTAATGGATGTCTTACTTTAGCAACAGGATATTTGGTTTAAGGTGTGGTTACTTGATGTTTTGGGTATTGAGAAGGTAATTACACTTGCTTGTTCTTTGTATCTTGGTAAGGAAGTCTTTTGCCTTCCTCCCTTTTGAGTGGGCTATAAAAGAGCTTTGAATAATAAACTTGGGGATGATCCTGGTAGTCACCAGGTTCCCTTCCAACTCTGTCTCTTGCCTCTTGCCTAGTCCTTTCCTCAATGCACACTCCTTCTAAGCACTGACCAGACAATTCCGGCTGGACCAGACAGATGGCTGCTCAGCGTTGGTCACTGACAAAGTAGGAGATAAGAAGAGAAGATCTTTCCCTACAGAAAGAATAGCATGTGGGAAGGCTGAAAGAATGGCCAGCTGGCTGGAGTTCGGAGAGCAAGGGCAAAATGAGAGGAGAAAAGGCTGGGGTGGTAGTGGACTGGGCAGGCTCACCCCAAGGACAGTGGGAGGGGAGTTACTGATGAAATTGTGTTTGAGAAGTTTCTGACCACAGTTTAGACAGGGGCCTGGTGCTTCAATGGAGTGAAGAAGTTACCAGGCAACAGTTGCCTAAAAGAAAATAAGGACTGGGCAGGGTGTGGTCCTCCCTGTTCCAGTTGCTTGTCCTTGCCTTCCGCCCATCGTTGTTCAGAGATGCCAGTCTTTATGTGGGCAATGTATGCTCAGCAGCAAACAATCCCATGGAAGGCCGTGTGTGTGTGTGTGTGTGTGTGTGTGTGTGTGTGTGTGTGTGTGTGTGTGTGTGTGCGCGCGCGCGCTGCTGGCCTTTGGTAGGGAAGCAGGACCTGGTGTGTGGATGGGGGCTGAAGAGATTGTCTTTAGCCAAGGTTAAGGAAGCCTTTTACATTTTGCCAACCCTCTATGCTGAAGGCGTGAGATTCTGTCTTTACCCAGCAAAGAGTCAGGGCACCAGCTTTGGATTATAGGACCCTCCCAGCTATGTTAGTCTCCAGGATTTTAAAGGAGTTGTTACTTCAAGGCCACCTAGCCAGCCAGTGTGCAGGAAGATGAAGGTGGGCTTTAACGTGGGAGGGTGAGCAAGTCGTGGTCCTGCCCATCTGAAGCTCTAGGGACCTGAGTGAGCTCTAATCTGAGTATGTGACCTTGGTCATATCATTTCTCCTCCCTGAGGGGCTTGGGTTCCCTCGTCTGCAAACTGAAGGTGGCCAAAAAGTCCCTGCCAGCTGCGACTTCAAGTCCAGCAGGCGGGACATCCCACCCGAGGCGCAGTGCCAAGCCTGGCAGGGTGCGCGGTTGCTGGGTCGAACCAGGAGACGAGGGGGCTGCGGGAAGAAGCGGCGACTGCGCGGCAGCGCGCGCACGGTGGTTGGGGGTTGGGGGTGCGCTGCACACACTGCCGCGCCCCCGGCTCCAGGCGGGCGGCGACGGCGGCCCGGGGGCCACGAGGTTACGTAAGGAGCGGGCGGGAGGCACCGGCGGCTCCGCCCGATCGCGGCCGCCCAGCCCCCGCCCTCCCGTCCGCCTGCGCCTGGCGGCGGCCCCGACACCGGTAGAGGAGCCGCGCAGCGGGCGGAATGGAGCGGCGCCGGGGCTGAGCCGGGCGCACTCGGGCCGCCGCATGTGCCGCGCGGGGAGCAGCTGCCGAGCGGGCGGAGAGCGAACGCCAGGGGCCCCGTCGGAGCGGCCGCAGGAGCAACGCCGGAGATGGGGTGAGTGAGCTCGCGGGGCGTCCGCGAGGGGCTACGGGCCGCCGGTGGCATGCTGCGGCGGGAGCTCGGGAACCCCCGGCCTGGGCGCGGACTTTGCGCCGAGAGCCCACGGCCCTTCCCCTCTATGCCAGCCGAGCGCGCAGGGACACCTGGCGGGGACCCGCACCCGGACTGGGCTCGGCACTTCAGCCATTCCGCGGTTTCCTTGCCCCTGGCGCGATCAACTCCAGGGCCTGGGTCTATGAGTGTGAAAAGCAGTTTGCTGTTCTTCACGGCTGCATTTATTGCCAGGGACATGGAAATCGAAGTTTTCCTGGAAAGGAAACACACCCAATAATAACCCTTCGGCGTAGGAATAGTGTGGACTTGCAGGCAGCATTGAGATGGCTGAGAATGGTGGAAATCTGTTAAGGAACCTAGATGAGGCTCCAGATGCTTGGGAGGGAAGTTGGTATACTCAGTTGAAGTGACTAATGTTTCTGAGTATATTAAGTAATTTAAAAAGCAGGATTGATTTCTCTTAAGCGTCTCTCCGAGTAGCAGGCGCTGTGAGTCAGGAGCCACTGTGCTAATAACACGCTAACTCCCTTACATCTGCTCACCGATGTGAGCGCACGCTCATGGTGTTTCTCTGTGCAGGGAATGATTATTGTGCTTGCTCTCCACCTGAGGAAACTGAGGCTGAAGTAGTTCTGCGACTTCTTTCAGTGCCTGATTGCTCATCAGCAGAGGCAAGGCTACTGCCAGATGGGGGCCATGAGGATGATTGAGTGAGCCAGAGGTCTTGAATCTCTGTCCCCTACTGCTGGGCCCAGAATTCTTTCAGCCCTTCGTGGGATGCAGGGGCTTCTGCTGTATAAGTCTGGAGAACTTGTTTCCCATTGGGGATGGGTTAGCGTGGGAAGTCATGGTTATAGTGCAAAGAGGCAAGATTGCCCTGGTGGCCTGACCAGTCCCTATAGGTCAGCGGCTTTGCTGAACCTAAGCTCCAGGCAAGTCTCTGGAGTGGCTTTCTCCTGGGGCAGAGTAGCATTTTGGAGGGAACAGAAGCAAGCAAGGGGGAGCTTGGAGAAGGAGAGGGGAAGGCTGTGGCCAACAGGAACATGGGGGACTGAGGAGCCCAGTGGAAGTTGCTTGGGAATATTGATGCTTAGCCGAGAGACTTAATGTGTTGGGCTACTGGGGTGGGGTGGGGTGGTTGGGTGTGTGTGTGTGATAGAGTTACCCTAGCAGGGAGACAGATGTTTGTAACATTTTCAGCCATCTCTCAGCATATATGAAAGAACAGTGGGAATCTCCGGGGCTTCAGATTTCATACTTAGAAACAAAATCTTTGGGAAGGAGTTAGCAAACGTAGGTCTCAAGATGAAAGATAAAAGGACCTGGCAGCTTTAAGCTCTTCCCCTGCAGCTCCCCATTCAGCTGACACAAACCCAGCCAAGCCTACTTGCATATCAAAAACAAATATTGAAACTCTGTGGTTAAAATACATCTGTGGAAATGAAAATCTTTACTCAGAAAAGCTTAAAGAAAAATACCAGACAATGCTTTTTGTTTGTGGAAAAACATGGAGGAGTGCTTGGGCATTTTGTTTAAACACAGAACATGTCTTTCATGTAATTTTAACGTCACTCAATAAATGTGTATTACTCATTTCTTGTAGTTAATAGCTGATTTATAGCTCTTACTTCTCCCTACCATTTTAAAATATATTTTCTTCTGTAGTTTATGTGAATGTACAAGCCACGATTGTAAATTGAGATGGAGCTAAAGGCTGGATAAATAGTTTAGACAGAGGAGGTGGATGGAAGGAGTCATTTTAATAAAAAATAGAACTACTGTCATCCTTTCTGAGAGTTGTGTAGGATGGGAAGGAAGAATCAATAAGAGCATCTTTTAGCAGATCTGGCTGTGGTTCTTGTCAGATCCCCCTCGGGCTCTATAGTATAGACCAGACGAAGATTTAAGGAAATCAAGGACCAGACTTCTCTACTTCCTTGCTGACTGCATACATTCCCCCTTAGGTGTTTGCTGCCCTTTCACTTCTGTGTTCTGCATTAGGTATGTGATATCCCCAGTGTTTGTGCTAGCATCCCCCAAGGCAGATACTCTTTCCTCATATACTCATTGCCTCTCCTTTCTTGGACAAAGTAGCAGCCATAGACCAAAGCAGCCTCTCTGTCTTCCTGCCTGTCATACAGCAAGGATGAAGCTGCCACTCACCTCCTGCCTGTCTGCTGGAAGGCGGGTCTTCTTGCTGTCCATCATCTCCCTACTGGTGTAGACTCCACCCCCCCCCCCATACCCTCCTATCTTCTCAGGCTCCTTTCGATCTTAGCTTCCCTCAGCATCCATACAGGAGCACATTCTAGCTCAGCACTGTCCTGTAGAACTCTCTGCACTGCTGGGAATGTGCTAATCTATATGGTCAGTTTCAGCAGCCAGCAGCCACTTGAGGCTACTGAGCACTTGAAATGCACCTAGCCTGACTCAGGACCTAGCTTTAAATAGCCACATGCAGCTAGTAGCTGCCATATTGGGCAGCACAGTTCGGTCTTTCCCATCTGAAAAAGAACTCCCCAACCCCACCCTGCATACCTGTCCTGCTTCTGTTCCACTTCCTTATCTTTCTAAGGCTGTCTCAAAGAAAGGGCAAACCCATCATCTCCATTCACTTTTCTTCTCCTACCATTTGTTTGGCTTCCACACTAGTTTGACTTCTGCCTTTGCCTCAGCATAGACACTGTTCTATGTCAGTCCTCTCTCCCCCACCCTTCATCAATGTTCCTTACCAGTGGCCCTTCCTCCTCGAATCAGCTCCCTCCTAGCTCCTGACGGCATACCCCTCTGTCTTTCCTCTCACTTGTTGATGGTTTTGAGGTTCTGCCCTCATCCTGCTTGCCCCTTTGACTCCCAGTGGTGGAGATGCTTAGGAATCTGTCCTGGTTCCCTTCTCTGTCAGGACTCTCTTCCCTGGTCATCTTATTCAACCCCCCCCACCCCAGCTTACCCTCATCACCTACATGGCTTTAAGTATTATTGCCTACCTGCTGTCAACCCTGCATGTTTTGTTTTCACCATAGACCTTTGTCAGCGCTTCTGATTGGTCATTCCTGGAGCTCTTGCTGTTACTTTGAGTTCCCATCTTCCCTCTGACCTCCCACCTCAATCGTAGTCCCACTGTTTTTCTGAGAATTCTCTGTTCTCCCCCATCCCATATCCAGGCTGTCATTGGCCCTGTGAGTTCTACTTCCCAGGATTCTCAGGAGCGCAGCCACTCTGCAGTAACTATAATGCCTGCTCTAGTCCTGGTCACCATTGCCTCCTCCTTGGAAGCAATCCCCGCCCCCAGCTTCCACTCTGGGTTACCATCAACCCATTCTTTTTCTAGGAGCTGAGGGACTGGCTTTTAAGATTGCAAATCAGATATTGTCACTATCCTGTCTAAACGCCCTCCAGCAGACAAAGGCAGGGACCTCTACCTTATCTCCAGTGTCCCCAGTCACTCTGTGGTGCCACTTACTACATTCTGAAGATTCCTGGCCTCCTTTGTGAAGGACCCCTCCTCTCATGGTTCCTGAGGGCCTCTTTCTTTCTTAACTTTCTCTCAGCATCCATATAGGGACATATTCTAGCTCAGCACTGTCCTGTAGTACTCTCTGCACTGCTGGGAATGTGCTAATCCATATTCCTGGGGCCTTTGGATGCCTGGAATCCTCCTACCTTGGCTTTGCAGACATCCTCACCCTTTCCTTCACACTTTGGCACCAGGATGAGCCTTTCTAGTCACCACATCCAGAACACTGGTTTCCATAACTATCACACAGTGCCACCTATGTGGTCCACAGTCCTTGCCATCATCCAGGTTTTGTTGACTTATTTATACCCTATCTTCCTCCAATCATTGCACAGTGGTAGGACTTACCTTTTCACCATCGCATTCCAACATGTGATACAGTGGCTGACCTCACAGGCCTGCTGTAAATATTTTACGATTGAGTTACTATTTGCATGGTGGGAGTACTTCTTGGATGCCAGCCTGAAAGTTATGATGCTTTTGGATTACATGCCATGATTTTCTTGAGTGGAGAGTCACAGGGCCAAGAGAGAAAGGGATCACATTTGGATACAGTTTGTTTTAATGCCAAAGTGGGCATTCTGCTTTTATTGTGATGTGGGTTCATTTTGCGGCTGTGTGCTGTTACCTGAGAACTGGAGCTCTAAATTACTTTCTTATTGTCTATAAAAGACCAGCAGAAAAGGCAGCTTGTCAGCGGTTGTGACTCTTAGCTGGTTTTGTCAGTGTTTACGAATAAGATCTGCTGCACTACTGGCTCCCTGCATTTTGTACTACTTGTTTTGTTGATTCACGATTACTCGGTTACTCGAAGTGGGCTAATGTCACAGTCTTGGTTATCTGATACAGCTGGCTGCCTTTCAGTGATCTATACTGTTTAACTTCTGATGTTCTTTTCTACCTCGGAACCACACCGTGTTCTTTTACAAGCTACAGGGTTTTACTTTGGGCTTTTAGTTAACTAAAATAGAGTATTTCAGGGGCTGGAAATTTGGCTCAGTGGTTAAGAGCACTGGCTGCTCTTCCAGAGGACAATTCCCAGCACCCACATAATGGCTCACAACAATCAGTCCCAGGGGTTCTAACACCCTCTTCTGGCCTCCATGTGTGCCAGGCCTACATGTGGTACATTGACACACATGCAGACAAAACACCCATCACATAAAATAAAATTTAAAAATATTAAAAAACAAATTTTCTTCTGGTCCAGTTTTTGTTGTTGTTCAACTTCACTACGGTTAATTTGAGTCTTTCATCTGTGAGACAGTTGTCCAGTGCTATAGGGGGCCCAGAGATGAGCAGGAACACTGGCTAATTCCTGACTCTGGGAATAAGCCACATTTGTAGGTACTTTCTTTGTGTTTAAATGCTGTGATGGAAACAAAATGTTATCATCTGAAGGGATGTGTATACATGTGGGGGA